TAGCGAAGCTTCTATATTATAGTCTGAGTGAGAGACCTTGGATCTTATTTTGTTAAGAGATGCAGTGAGTACATTCATGGCGTAGAGGGGGAAGGAACGGTGAGAACCCCAAGAGGCAGTATAAGCCTGAAAGATTTCAAGTCAGTTTGCTATTTTATTATCGTCCTTATAACCTGATGCACTCAGCTCCTTCTCTGTTAAATGGCCTCTTTGGCCCCAATATCAGAGGCAAACACAGAAAGGGAGCCCCATGCCCTAACAGATAGTCTTCTCCCAAAGTCCCTCCGGAAGCAAGGGGCTCAGTTTAAAACCAGGGGCTAGCTGGTGCCCAGCCAACCCATCCTCTCCTGCTCAGGAGAGCTGGGTCACAATCCTGACGCGGGGCCAGCTGGCCGGCAACCTGTCTGCTTACCGCCGGGCCTGGAACTCACCCACAGCGACCACAGGACAGGCAGAGCTGCCCATCGGAGAGAACTAGTACTGTTTGCCTTTTTTTTTTTTTTTTTAAATTAAGGATCCATGTTGAAGAAATTGGGAGTCAGTATATAAGACCAGTGAACAGCACATACTGAGGTTTAAATTCTGGCCACGTGACCTTGGGCTAATTGCTTAATCTCTCCAAACTTCATCTGCCTGTGATTTCACAGTTTGCCACAGGGTAAATAAAAGAGATGTCAGCATTAAGTCAGTACAGTGCCTGGGATGCGGTAAGACTTAGTGAATCCTAGTGATGACTGTTATTATCCCTAATAACCTCATGGCTAGGGCCTGCCTGCTTCCGGGAGTTTTCACGAAAGGCCACTCACTATCAGCATGACTTGGTTTAACTCCCTTTTCTTTTCCCTCCTTCATTAAAAAAAAAAATCCTTTTAGCCTGGAGTTACCTTTTGTAGAAAATAGAAATAAAAGGGTTAGATTCTATTATGTTTTAACAACAACAACAAAAATCTCATCTCAAGGAACCTAGCTAGAAGCCGCCAATGCAGAATGGATTTTTCAATTTAAATCTAGAAGTTCCCACTATGCCTGGGAAGCAGCAAGAGGCTTCAGCAGCCAGAACACTTTCCAGAAAGCTGGAGAGGCCTTGGCTTGACTCACCGTTGCCCTGGCAACAATAGGGCTCAGAGGCCTCGGGCCCTGATCCCTTAATCTGAGGAGCTGCTACCACAGTGCCTCAGGAAAGGTCCCCATAGACACCTGGCTAGCGAGAGCAACTGTAACGGGAGGGACGGAAGAAATGACGGAGGTGCAACCCTTTCGGCACAGATAGCCGCCTGCAGGTCTCCGTGACAATCTCGGTTTCCAGACCCCAAAAGCTGACTCTAGAGAATTCGGCCACAGAATCCCCACCAGGTTCTAAGTGCCGTCAGGGCAGTGGGTGGCCTCCTGACCCTTTTCTGTTTCCCTGGCGCTCAGGGCGATGCTTTGCACACAGAATAAACCACACGGGGGCTGTGTGACAACGAGCACCCGCTCCGGTGCCAGGCCCTCGCCCTGCTGCTCTCGCTGGCCCTGTGCGCCCGCAAGCGAGCCGGCTGCGGCAACCTGCTCCTCTCCGTCTCGGTGTCCCCAGCTGGGACACCACAGGCCGGACGCCCAGGCCTTTTTCGCCTCTAAATTAAAAAAAAATTTTACTACATTCATAATTTTGACAAACATATGGCACGGAGCATGTTCTGCTTCATACATTGTTTCCCTTAATTTTGTCTTAAATTTTAAAACCTGAGAATAAAATGCAGTGATTTGAAAGAGGTGCAGGGTTTCCTTTTTCAATAACCCCTCGGGTCCCAGGGAAAGAACTTTGTGGCCAAGCACGTGGCCTTGGGAGTCAAAAACACGTGAATTCAAACCATGGCTCTACCATTTGGTGGCTGTGTGACTTCGGGCCTGTTTAATCTCTCTGAACCTCCAGCTCTTCACCTGTAAAACGAGTAAAATTGACGCAGACGCCAGAGTTACGATGGATGCAAAGTCTTCAGAAGTTAAGATGTGCTCAATAAATGATTATTTTTTCCGGTACACAGCTTCATGGGGCCAGGGGCAGCTGGCAATTCAGGAGTTTGAAAGCCTGGCTTTCTAATTAGACTAAGGGCACCCAGAGAAGGCCCGGGGGGGGAAGTACCAGGCACCCAGCAAGGAGGGTGCTGCCCGCTGCAAACTCCGGCACATGGCTGCAGTGAGAGCCGAAGCCTCCCCACCCCCACGGTGGGAGATACCAATACTCTGCCAACACCACCCAGTGTATGTGCCCATGTGGTTTGATTTGAATTTCCTCACATGAAAATAATTTTCTGCTTCTGCCTGCCGGGGAAATTTCTTTTTCACTGATTCATTCTTTTAAAATACACCACCAGCCCACAACCTACGTGGACTTGTTTTTACTAAGCTGTCATTAGCTAGAAACTCATAATGAAATTTTAGCTCCTATGCAACTTTTATCAAAACCCAAGGAGGTGCCAATGCCTTGGCTATGTATTTATTCTTTATGTTATTTAAGCCTTAGAACAATGGGAACTTTGTTGTCCCCAGTGAACCAATGAGGAAGTTGGTGTTCTGGTCATTAATTTGTGCAGGGTCACCGGGCGAAGTTGAGACCCACACCTGCTCGACCTCAGAGGCCGCCACACTGGAGTGCGCGCCTCCCAGAGATGCTGGCCTCGGGCCACCGTGGCGCTTAGGGCAGGTGGAAAGCAAGGGTCGCGATGGCACTGAGGACCAGGATGGGGGGAGGGACGGCTGCAGTACAGCGTGCCAGGCCCTTCGAAGAGGCCTGAAGACGGGGTTAGAGCCCAGGAAGGGGACATACGGGCACAGAGACCCCCTGAGAGCCCCGCTCCACGTAAGGAGTTCTGGTCTTGGACTATACTGGATCCTTCAGACACCAGAGGCCGCCCAGGGAAGCTCGAAAGCCCCAATCTTGGTAACTGCATAGCAAATGAAGTTACTCCAAGTTTCTACCTTGGGTTGCACCCCAAAGTACCATGGCCTTTCACTCGAGTCAGAGCACCTCCCATACTCTGGTCCTCAGACTCGAGGACTGGTCAAGATCTGGAGCAGCAGTGGGCCTCCACCAAGTATTTCCAAAATACCTCTGCTAACCTCTCTTCGAGGGTTCAAATGCCCTGGTGTTCAAGAGAGCCATTTCCCCTGCCATCCTCGAATTCCCAGCCTGCAGTGTCGCTGGCGTGACCTGTCCATTGCTCATAGCTGGTTGTCCCCTGTGTCTGACTACGGTAGGGTTCCTTCTCCATCACGTTCGGTCTCTTGCCATCTATTTGCATCAATGGTTTCTCATACCAGGTCAAATCCAGATTCCAGTCTTGAAGTCTCAGATCCCTGTGCACCCCCAACCTGCTCTAAGCCAACCATGTTGACCCTGTTTTCTCTTCCACAAGCCGTTGCCAAACCAGTCTCTGCTCCCTCCTCCATTGGAGCCCACTTTCCACACTTCCATCTTTAAGAATACCTCCACCAGGCCCTGGCTGGTGTGGCTCAGTGGACTGGGCACCCGCCTGCGAACCAAAGGATTGCTGGTTCGACTCCCAGTTAGGGCACATGCCTGGGTTGCAGGCCAGGTCCCCAGTAGAAGGCACCTGAGAGGTAACCAGACATTGATGTTTCTCTCCCTCTCTCCTCTTCCCTTCCCTCTAAAAATAAAATAAAATCTTAAAAAAAAAATACCACCACCAAAAGGCCTTCCTCGTTTCCTCATCTATGGAATTGACCCAGCTCCATGGACACACTGTCCTGACCCTGCCGTTCCTCCTCCTGTGCTCAGCAGAGCACATATGGGCTTGGCACCCCGTGTCCACTGCGCTGAAGTCCCCGCTCCTGGATGTGACTCAACTCTCCAGCTGGTTCTGGAGATCGGGGCCGAGACTGGCCACCTCTCTGGCACTCCGTGCCAGCCCAGGCGTCTGCCCCTCCCTGGCTGCCTGCCCTGCTGCCCTATCATCCTTTTGGAAATTTTCAGTGTAAAAACGGAGAAGTCACATCCTTTCAAGTGTGAGCTTTGGGGCACCACTTCCCCTCCCTGTGCTTCTGGTTACGCACCTTTATAAAGAGAGAAGCGGCGTTCATGACCTCTATGGTCCTTTCCAACAATAATGTAGCCTCTCCTGCCTCTAATTCTCCCTTAAGTATCTTGTCACCTCCTCTCCACCCCAGACTCACGACTTAGCCTGCCTACCTTCATGTCTCTCACGTCAGCCTCTGCTTCAGCAGCCATGCAGCCTGCGCTGTGCTTGTGGCTGAGGCGGGCACTCTGCTAGCCTCCATGAACTTCCCCCTCAAATTGCTTGAATTCCCTCTGGGCCACTGCTAAGCCCAGGAGCAGAGCGAGCGTCAATTGCTCTGTGAGCAAGGTAACATTTTCTCTAGGCCTCAATGGATGGCGGCTATTAACGCGTACCCAGCGGAACCAGGGTGCATTCAGGCATGCAACCAATCTAGAGTAGCTTTGGTGCACGAACAAACAAATGTTCAGAATAGCGCCCTTCGTGGTTTCCCCAAAGACTGGCACGAGGGCCCTCTGCACCCCTTCCCTAAGCCTCCCTGCCGCCAGCCACGTTTCAAGCTCCCAGGAAGGCTGCTGGGTCCTGTGGGAAGCGCCCAGCCTTTGCTGGGGGGCCACCTTTCCAGCCCATCCTAGAGCCTGCCCTCCGCCTGCCTCGCTCCTGAATCCTGTCGCCCAGCACCGAGGCGCCAGGAGCTCCCGCACTTCCACAGGCTGCCGCACTGTTCCAAGCTCCTCCCTCCTCTTTCGATTTTATAATCGGTGGGATCTGCGCCCCCTTCAGCACCCAACAGAAGGGAAGAGCACAAGGGGCACTCAGGCAAACCTGCCAACTGACACTAGGCACAGGATGTCCCTTGGCCACCTTAACCCCTCCCCTTCAAAACCAAACAAAAACGGCAAACAGGAAACGCTCGTCTTTTAAAAATTACTCTATTATTATCAAATAGAACCACAGTATCCAAAAGGTAATTATAAAGGTCTATACCCAACTAAGTGGCCCTGCACCGCCCCGCCCCTCCGCATGGCCGGCCAAATCACTCCCCCCGTGCTGATTGGTTTCATCCGTTTTATTGTCAAGGAAATTAACAGCCCGAAGGGGTTCCCCAGGTCCACGCTCTCCCCCTGGGGCCCCGGGTAAACAAGGCAGCAAGCGACCTGGTCTCAGGACCCCCGTGTCCTTGGGAGGAGGGACAAAAGGAGGGGGGGCTCACAGCAAAGGGGCTTGGGGGCGCCCCGCCGGCTGGGCTCAGGCCTCGCGGCTGCCGGGCCAGACGGCAGCGGGCGGGCTCACTCGCCCGTGTGGGTCCGCAGGTGGTACTTGAGCGACTGCTTGTAACGGAAGCACTTGGCGCAGTGCGTGCAGGGGTAGGGCCGCTCGCCGGTATGCGCGCGCTGGTGCTCCAGCAGGTGATGCTTCTGCGTGAAGCGCTTGCCGCACTCGGCGCAGTGGTAGGGCCGCTCGCCCGTGTGGATGCGCCGGTGCTCCAGCAGGTGGTGCTTGCGGATGAAGCTCTTGCCGCACTCGGGGCAGGCGTGGGGGCGCTCACGCGAGTGCACCCGGCAGTGGTTGGTGAGCTTGGACTTCTCGCTGAAGCTCTTCTCGCACTCGGGGCACTTGAAGGGCCGCTCACCCGTGTGAGTCCGCTGGTGGCGCAGCAGGTGCGACGGGCGACTGAAGCTCTTGCCGCACAGGCTACAGATGAAGGAGACTTCGTGCTTGCCCGCGTGCACGCGCTGGTGGATGACCAGGCTGATGTGCAGGCGGAAGCTCTTCTTGCACTCGGGGCACGTGTAGGGCCGCTCCCCCGTGTGCGTGATCTGATGCTTGGTCAGGCTCGACTTGTGGCTGAAGCTGCTGTCGCACTCGGGGCACTTGTAGGGCTTGGGGCCGCCACCGCTGCCCGAGCTGGGCGACTTGGGGCGCGGCTTGAGCACGTGCTTGGAGGCAAAGCCAGGCCCGCGCTCGGGCGACCCGTAGCCCCCGCGGACGCGGTGGATGCGCTGGTGCAGCGTCAGCTGCTGCTTGTGCCGGAAGCTGATCTCGCACTCGGCGCACTCGTAGGGCCCCTCCTTGATGTGGTTGCGCTGGTGGATGATGAGGTTGATCTTCAGCCGGAAGCTCTTGCCGCACTCCATGCAGGTGAAGGGCCGCTCGCCGCGCCGGTTCCGCTGCTGCTGGCTCGAGGAGCCCCGGTTGTCGCTCATGTGCCGGTCGCCGTGGGACACAGGCGCCAGCCTCTTCACCGCTGGGTTTCCCAGCTGCAGGGGCGGGGGGCTCTCCTCGCCCTCGGGGGACAGCTCCCCCGGCAGCGGGGTCTGGTACATACTGGCTTCGTACCTCCCGGACAGCTCCCCGAGGTCCTGCAAGTGCTGCGGCAGCTCGTCCTCCTCCTCTTCTTCCTCCTCCTCGTCCTGTTCCTCGGTCTTGATCACGATCCCCTCTGCTCCAGGGACAGGCCGGGAGAGGAGAGACAGTGAGAAGTTAGCTGTTGCCTAGTGCTCAGTTACCACCAACGCTCCATCCTTACCCGCAGGCGCGGCACAGACCTGCGCGGAAATGCCTTTCTTTGGGAAAAGCCTCCTTCCCACTCCCTGCGGCCGCGATCCCCACCTCCAAGGGACTGGACATGTAACACATACACGTTTGGCTCAGGAAAGAGCCCAGACCCTATGTTGGAACCCGATGCAGGGGACGCAGGGCAGACGGCCCCTGTGGCTGGAAGATGGCCTTGCGGGCGCCCACTGCCCAAGCCGCTAGCCAGCAGTCACCAGCCGGGAAAGGCGCCAGCTCGCCGCCCTCCTGGGGGCGCCCAGAGCCAGGTGCCTGCGGCTGGCACACACGTGAACCTACAGCTATCAGAGCCCATGCACACCAGTTCTGCATTTGAGCTATAGAAGGGGTGGGGTTCCTCCCCCGTATCAGCGGGGTCTCGGCTCATCGAGTGGTCAGCCTTTCCTCCCAGGGCCTCCTCTACCGGGACGCAGCTCAGCGCCCCAGCCCCACAGCCCATGGGGCCTCCTCTGTCCCCGCCTCAGCTGGGCCTTTCTCCTCAGGTGCCTGGACTCACCCTCCTTTCCACTCTCGAAGCCGTGCCCGTCAACCAGCACCCAGCTCCAATCCTCTCTTCTCCCTGAACCCCCCTGCCCAGCCCACCTGCAGCGCTCCAGCCCCCTGAGCCCACAGCCTGCGCATCCCCGCGGGGCCGAGAGCCGGCCTTCCCCCTGCCCCCCGGAAGCAGGGGCTTCCTCTGCCTTTCCCGCGAGCCCGGGTGCGAGGGCCACAGGCAACCCCACTAATGGGTGTCCTCCCGCTGCCCCCTCAAGAACCTCAATAAGGCTGTGTGTTCTGTGGCCCACGAGGACCTGCGTCCCAGAGAAAAGGAGTGGCCTCCCACGCACGCCTGTTTGAGTTTTCTCAAGTGCCTTGTACTTATTTGGTACGCCCTAAACACTGTTAATGGGGGACTCTATTTTTAGTCTCGCTGACCGACTTTGTGTGACGCAGGAAGTCAATCGCTCTTCGGAGCCCACCCATGAGATGGAAGAAGCGGTAATAGCCTGCCTTTGTGGAATTCTTAAACGCAAACAAAGGAGACCTTTTTCAAAGCGCTTCACACCTGTCCTCTCCTTTCATGTTCACAGCATCTTACTGCAGGCTCGGTCAAGCGAGGAGCAGCCACGCCTGGAGTTATCAAGCGATGTTTCCAAATAAAGTAAATAAAGTCATCGGTCTTTGCAGAGCCAGCCATTTGGGGAACACCTAGCCCCTCCCCTCACCTGACAGGACACCTGACATTGGCCGTGTCTGTGCCCTGGCCCAGGTCTTGTAAGTTTGTCTACGATGACTAGGCCACAGCACTTCCTACTACTCCTCTGAAGCCAATAAAAAGGCAGTGTGAACATCAGGACAGAGGTGTGCTGAGTCCCAGCTCAGGCTGTTAGGACTTTCGGCAGGAAAGTGACCCAGGGTCATAGGAACACGATGGGTAAAATATAGGGAAGGGGAAAGCAGCTTCTAAGGTCAGTAACTAGCTGCCCCGGTGCCTTTCCAGAGTGGTTTATGAAAGACAGAGGGGGAAATACGGGCCTTGGAAGATTCGGTCCCTCCTTCAACAGCGGAGTTGTTTTTTCTTAATGAAATCAGAATGGAACATCTGGCCCTAGAGCTCAGGGCTCAAAATCCCAGAAGGGCTCTTCAGTAATCTTCTAAGGTTCTACTAGAATTAATGGGGACTGTTCAAAAGACAATCTGGAATTACTACTATGAAGCTCTAATTTAGCATCTTCTCACACTTTGCCTTGTGTCTTTCACTATTCTTTTGTGAAAGACGGCATGGTATATTTAAACAGACTTCTGAAATATCATGCCGTTATTTAAAAATAAGGAGCTAGATCCACATCTTTGGACCAAGAAGGGTGTCTGTATTTTATTATTAAGTGCAGAAAAGCAAATTATGGAGGAATTATCTACAAATAAAATAAAAAATGTTTAAAAGTCAACATAATACTTTTAAAAACCTGACTAAAATAGATGTGGACATAGTTCTAAATATAATATGTAAATTGATACCATGGTTAATGACTTTCATACATAAACAAAATATCCAAACAAAAAACAAAACCCAACTGAGGTCTACCAAATTTTCAAGGAACATACTTCTTACCTTACACATTATTTTCAGAATACTAAAAAAAATAAAAATAAAAAAAAAAATAACAAAACAGAGCAAAAGCTTCCCAGCTCATTTGATAAGTCTAGTACGCTCTTGTTTCCAACACTAGATGAGACTAATTCAAGAAAAGTTCAGGTCCATTTCTTCTACGAATAGAGCTGTAAAGCTCCTCTATAAAAGAGTAGCCAATCAAGTCTAACAGTGTGTGTAAGGAAGACACCATGCCCTTGCCGGTGTGGCTCAGCTGGTTGGAGTATCATCCCATTCACCAAAAGGCTGGAGGTTCAATTCCCGTTCGGGGCACATAGCTAGGCTGCAAGTTCAAGCCCCTGTTGGGGTGCGTATGGGAGGCAACTAATCGATGTTTCTGTCTCACATCGATGTTTCTCTCTCTCATATCAATAAACATATTTTTTAAAATTAAAACAAACAAACAAACAAAAAACCACCCCAGGATGATCAGACAGGGCCTTCCTCAGGAAGGCAGGGCTGGCTCGGCATGACACAACGACCATGACAGGCGTCTTGGGCTGGGCCGGCGGGCCCCCCTCCCCGCTGTTCTCCTCGCACTCACGCACGTGCAGAACACTGACCCTGAGATTTTTATAATTAAACCAAGCGACGCCTAGGTTCTCCCAGGAAAAGTGCAGTCAGCCACGTCAAAAAACGTGCTGTCCAAGGGCTGAAACCTGCAAATCCGGTGAGGCTCCTAGTGTGACATAAGAACCACCAAGGATCTGTCAGGACAGGGAGGTTCTAGCTTTGTCACTGTCATCTGACCTTCTCCTGCCTGGGGAGGAGGGGTCCTCGTCTGACCTACTGCTCGGCTGTAACACCGGCCTCCCTCGTGGAGACGGATGCCCGTGAGCCTCGTGGGGCTCTGCCCCGCCTGCTGGCCTGCAGCGTCCCCGCCCCGACTGACCTGCGCAGCTTCTCTGCTGCACCAGCATCTGCTTGAGGTCGCTGAACTCGCCGGAGCCCTCCGCCGACTCCTCCAGCGCGTTTTCCGGCTCCGGCATGTCCAGGTCGGGCTGCTCCCCACATGGGTCCCCCAGCTCTGAGTCCTGGAAGCCGTGTTCTTCCACCTGTCCCATCAGGGGCTCCGGCGTCTCCAAGCTCTCGGAGCCCTCGTCGTTGGTCTGCACCTCGATCTTAATCACGATGCCGTCGTGGGCTGCAGAGGACAGAGGCACCCACAACACGGTCATTCCGCCTGCCCGAGAAGTCACACGTCAGACGCTCTTAGAGCCCTGGCTGGTGGGGCTCCATGGATTGAGCGCCAGCCTGCAAACTGAAGCGTCCCTGGTTCAATTCCTGCTGGGCACGTGCCTGGGTTGTGGGCCAGGTCCCCAGTTGGGGGCATGCAAGAGGCAACCAGTTGACGTTTCTCTCCCTCTCTTTAAAAATAAATTTTACAACATCTTTTTAAAAAATGGCTTTTTTCCCAAACATCTTTAGAGATCTTGTAAAAACATAATACTGAGTTGGCACTGATGACACGTACAAGTTTCTGGACACAGTGCCCTGATATTTTTTTTTAACTTACCTATATGTACATAGGCTAATTTACAATGTCATTACTCACACAACCGCCACTTTATGTAAACGGGATTCGGCGCACATTGTTTTTTTTTTAGCGCTGTATTGTTTTCTCTTTAATTTGCCTTCCCCTTCCCCTTCCCCTCACTTCCCACCTCACAGCCATGACCTTCCCAGGTAACTCCTCTAACTAACCTCGTATTTTTCTCTACAGTTACAATAATTATCTATTATAACACATATACATTGACATATTTTTATTTTCTGGCCATTACTGGCTTAAGAAAATAAAACTGCCTTGCATATAGCCCCCTCTGTTCCTTTGCTCACTAAAGTATCTCGCAGAGATCCCTGCAAACCAGCGCTGGGGGGCTAATGCAGCCCCCTCCGAGCAGTGCCCACACCACGTGAGGATGACACCAGGCCCCTTCTGAAGCGCGCGCACTTTTCCTTCGCAGTCTCTCGCCACGGTGAACAATGCTGCAATAAACGTTTGTTTGTTTATACCTCTGACTACACAACCGTGGTTTTATTGCTACAAGAGTTCCCGGAGTGGCCCCACGATGTCAAAGCTGCCTGTGTGTAATTCTGAGGGATGTCCTCAGCCTTTCCAGCAAGGCTGCGACAGCTCATATTCCGACCAGCCCGGCCAGAGCGCCCCTTCTCCCCACGTCCCTGCCGGAGGCAGACACGAAGCTCCTCTAACCTGCTTCACTTGGGTGGGCGGCAAGGGGCAGCTCACGCCACTTTCATCCTACTTCCCGGACAAGGGTTATCTAAGTATCATTTATTTACTAGCCTTTTAGATTTGATTCCATGTAATCTGTGTTCTGTTCACTTTGTATGAGTCCTTTGATTTCTATGTTAAAGATAACCGATTTTCTCTTATCAACATTTCAAGTATTTCCCGCACCTATCATTTGTCTGCTGACTCTGTTACCTTCTGCCACACAAATTCCTTCCAGTGTTCATACTGTTGAATGTGTCCCCTTCTCTTTATGGCTCCTGGGTTTTCTGTCTCAGTTAAGGTCTGCCCCATCCTAGACAGTTCACGTCGTCTCCTACGATTTTATTGGAAGGTTTTCAATGTTCAATTATGAACACTTGGATCTTAACTGAAACTGGAATTTTTTCCCTACGGATTGAATTGTGCCAACATAAACCCCCTTCCAGGCTGCAAATTACTTTGACGATTAGGGGAATTATAAATGTATAATGTGTAAATATATCTGTGTATTCACTGAATGCTTATTCAACAGACGTTCACTGAGCACACGCTACGTGCGACATGGTGCTCTAACAGCTCTGGAGATGCCAGGGGACAAAGCAGAGCTCCCTGCCTCACACATCCTACAGGAGGCAATAGATGTAGCGGATACATTCTACGGTGTGTTCAAAAGTGGTGAGTACTGCGGGAAAAAGAAGAAGAAACCAGAAAACTGGGGGGCAAAGCCAAGAGTCCCTGCCTTCACGAAGCCTCCCCTTTGTTCTCCTGCCAAATCCCCTCGTCATTCCCAGGTCAAGGGGACCAACCACATGGCCAAGAAAGCACACTGACCAGGTACGCGAGTAACTATGGTAATCCTTTACTTGCTCTCTGATTGGCCAACTCAACCCATTTGTGAGGAGACATCGTACAAAGCAGCTCTACTGTTCCTGGGCTGCATCCCCTCCCCGCAGCCTTCAACGCAGACCGTGGCTACGTTCCCCCCAACGAGCCTCCGAAGGTCTCTTCTCACTGTCCAAAGTCGTCTGCATCCTAGTCTCTCTCCGCACCTACCTCTTGGACATCCCCAGGGCTCTAGCTCAAGGCCACCACCGTGACCCCACCGCCCGCCCCAGTCTCAGGAAAAGCAGCGTCTCCCGCTCTCCCTTCCCCGCCTGAGGCCCCTGGAACTGCGCCTCCCGAGCTGCGGCCCTGCCCTCTCTGTCCTCAGTCCTTGTCTCTGCACCAACGCCACAACCGCCACCACGGCTCCCACATCAGAAGAAGATCTCCCTGACGAACTCCTTCCAACACTTTGCTGCTTGCCTCTTCCCTAAAATATGGTTTTTAACACTATGTATCCTCTGCACCTTTTGAATAAACATGTAACATGCTTCCATAACTGCAAAAGATGTGATTTCTGGAGCACTGCAAATATTGGTGTTTTAAAATAAACCCTTCCATCGCCCTTGAAGGTTGCCAATGGAATCTAACTGCCCCAGCGACTTAAAACCCGCCATTCTCCACTTTAGAAATACACGGACAAGTTCTTCTTTGATGGTTGAAATTTTTGTACCATTCCTTCCCACCTTGAATTTCTATTTTCATTCCCACTTTGCCCACAGAATTTCATCCTAATAGAACATGTTTTCATGCTCAGAAGCCTCTTCCTGATCAACTCATCTACCACTCTGCCACAAAAATGTGTATGCACTTTGAAAGGTTAATTTTACTTTCAGGTCTGATAAGCAGAGGACTCGGAGTGTCCATTCCCCGCCCCTGCTGACGCCAACCTTAGTTGTTACCGCTGTTGATTCATAAACAATTATTCAAGACAGAAAACCAAACAACTGGTCGGAAATACACATCCTGCGAGGATGGACAGGGACTTTCCCCGCCATTAGTTCACTTATCTGAGAATGAACGTTCTCGCTGTTTAAATGAGACCAAGTTCAGAATCCAATCTATTCCTGTTTTTCATTCCCACAGATAAAAGCAGTGGGGAAACTCATCTGCACAGATACGCCGAGGGGCTGGCAGGTTTGTTAGGGAATCATCACCCCGTTCTTTGAACTTCTGAATTATGATGCTATGAAAAGCACACAGGGAACATCTCAAAAATTATTTTTAATGACCTATTCACTGACAACATAATTAGTTTCTCTTTCATTTTTGTTGAAAGCAAAGTATCGCAAATAATCTAACCTGTGAGGGAACTCGGCACCTAGGCCCCAGAGCAATGAACCTGTGGTCAGGCACCCCAACACACGAAGTTCTCTCTTTGTTGTCTGACCCAGAGAGCTTTTAATACTTCAGAGAAACGCTCCATAATAAGATAAAGATGGGTGGAGGTGCCTGTTTTCTTCTTCCGTTTTTTAATTGTGGGGGAAGTAAGAGACGGGGACCAGCATTTCGGAGGGCACATGTGCTGTGTGCTCTCGCTGAGGGGTTTTAGGAATGAGAACAGGCAAACCGAGGGCCTAGAAAATGGACCTTCCATGCCACCTGCTGTGTCTCTTGTGGACCCCGGACCATCTGCGGCATGGGTACCCCTGCTTGAAGACCGCTGCCTTCCAGCACCTGTCCCTCCTGTAAGAGCCCGCTCCCCCCAAATCCTCACAGTGCGCCCAGCGGCCCACAGCTGTGCACCTCTCCGAACCCCAAGCTCTCTCCTGTTCTGCTCTGATATGTAATTCTTTTTCTCTAGAAACATGCGTTTACATATTTCCATCCCCTCCCCCATTTGTTAGACAGTAGAGAAGCTAGTTTCCCCCAAATGAATCTCCCCACCGAACAGCTTTTGAAAGAGTGCTGATGACCAACTTGCATTTATAGGTCGTAATTTGTTCTCCCATTTCAAAAACAAATGGAGACACATACATTGTGGAAATGTAATTTATGACCAAAGGTAGCTTTTCAAGAGGTTTTAAATAAATGGAGCAGAGACAACTGGCTTCCTGAGTAGAAGGAAAAAAATAAATCCACCTTTGTGTATCTCACATCAAATTATGGATGAATCGAAAATTCAAACATAAACAACAAAATCATACTAGCATTAGAAAATAGTACAGCCTTTTCTTTCTTTTCCTTTTTTCAGCTTTGGGCCAAAGAACTGTCCCTGGTCCGCGAGGACCTCAGACGATCCCCAGGAGGCTCTCTGCTCAGGCGCCCAAGCAGAGGCCACGTGCCCGACCCGTACCGACGGCAGTCTTCTGCTAGGAAGTTTTTGGAAATAACTTCTGTAGTTTCGCCTTGATATTGCTTGGCTCTAGGAAACATATTTCACTTGTGATTGCTTTTTAATCTCTGTCATGATGTTTCTTCATAAGAACTTTTGTGAGATGGGACAAATCGGCCCTATAAATTGTTTTCAAATTTATTAAATGTCTGTGAACACTCAATTTAATAATGAATGAAGCTGATATAAGGTTGTTTTTGTAAGACAGTTAAACACTTAATGATTTATATTTTGCAATTTTCTCTTTATTTTCTGGAACAAAAAAGAAATTTTTATTCCAGGTTTGAAATATTTTTATAGAATTTGGAAAGCTCACAGGTGCAAGGCCTGTGATCATGTTTACCGAATAAAATATGCCCAGTATTTCTATACTTGCAGTGAAACACAGATATCATAAAGAAAACCACTGGTAAATGTGAATACATGGAAACTTAAAAGTGATAAATTTGAACACATACCGATGTAATACAGCTATACCACATACAGATACTATACAAAGGAAGAACACAAATTCAGAAACACGTTCACATACATAAAACAAAGAAGAGCTAATTTCCTTAATATTTAAGAAGCTTTTACAAATCAATAATAAAAAGATGAACAGTTCAAAAGAACAATGGGCAAAAGGCAATTCATAAAATAAGATGTACTCGTGATCAATAAAGGTATAAAAATACACTCAACTTCACTC